ACAGCTTTGGTCTGTCGTGAAAAAATTCCCGGGAAACCCCCCCGGACTTGTGACATTGCTGATATCGGGGGGGGAGGGCGCCGCTGTGGGGTGCGGTGAAGGGGGAGCATGGAGATGGGGGATGAGGGGGGGGGAGTAGCGAGCCGGACTTTAAATTGGTGGGGCACTAAACGGCAAAACCCCGGGTCAGGGAAATCAGTGGGCCAGGCTGGGGTGAGGGGAGGGGGGTCTGGGGTGGGGGGGGGGGGGGGGGGTGGCCTGTGTGTTCGCACAAGACGCACATACTGACTAACTTTTGCTAATTGTTATACATTTTTGTTCCCTTTAGAAAAAAAAACCCCCGCCCTTTTGGGACCTAAACACCATGCTCCACTATAACCCAGGGTTTGTTCACCATCCATTGCCTGTCGGTACGCCACTTCCCCCCCAACCCCGACCCCGGGCCCATCAAGATGTAAAAAAGAATCCCCAAACCCCCTGCCCGGATCCCCCCACCACCCCACTTCCAAATCCCCCTGCACACGCACTTTCCTGATATAGAAACAATGGGCGATGTAGAGGTTTTTCAAAAATCTATGATTCCGGGCGATACTCCACGATGATTCTGCCGAAACTGGCCCCCGTAAACCCTGTTGGTTTCCCGGGTTTTCAACACACTGTATGGGGCACCACACACTGGGTCCCCCCCTCCCCGCCGCAAGCGCGTATATATATATATTAATATATATATTAATAAAATTTATTTTAAAATATATATATAAAATATATATATAATATAAATTATTATATTATATATATATATATTATATATATATATATATATATATATATATAAAAATATATATATATATATATTATATAAATATATATATATATATGCAAAAAGAAACACAGAAACAGGTGATTCAAAAATTAAAACAACCCCTGAAAAAATAGGAAATTTTCCCAAACGTTTTGGATACTCACATTACAAGGAACTATGAAAGTAAACTCCAAGGAAGCTAATAAGGGGGCGGCCAGCACTCACTACAGATCCACAACGGTTAAACACGTGACGCGCGCCCACCCAACTTGGTAGGTCCTTTTCAAACTCACCCCCCAAACTATTCTACCAAGAAAATTTAAAAATTATTTGTCCCGTTTATTATTAAATTCTTCCCAAATTCTATTAATTATAAATGGATCTAATTTATATAAACCAAAGGAAATATTCATATTATTGTCAAAACTGCTTTTTATGAAACAAGATTCAATTATATTCCTGTCGACCATGGACTTGCTTGATACTACTTTCTCAACTTTTTGAAAATCAATTGGATGGTTAAAATCTCTTACATGAATAAATAGAGCATTGGAATCTTGTCCAGTTCTAATGCTATATTTATGTTGTTTTAATCTTAGTTCGAGATTTTTACCAGTTTGACCGTAATAAACTTTATCACAAATTTTACAAGGAATCTTATAGACACATCCATCAGCATTTTGGGGGGAATTCTTTATCAAAAGTTTTTCTGAAAGAATTTCTCTATTCTTTCAGAGTGGTTGTTTTGCATATATATATATATATATATATATATATATATATATATATATATATATATATATATATATATATATATATTATATATATATATATATATATATATATATATGTCGTGCCGAATAGGCAGAACTTGCGATTTTGGCTTAAATAGCAACGCTCATCTTGCCATATAAGACAAGCTAAAATTTGTGTATGCAATAATTTCGCCAAAATTATTCAGAACCTGATGAAAAAAATATATTCCACTGTGTTTGTTTAGTATTAAATTATTGTAAACGTATCTTAAATATATTTAGCTGGGTTAGGCGAAAATAAGTTGTTCTTGTTATAATAAGGTTAGGTAAGTTTTCTAAGATTCTTTTGGTGCAAAATTATAAATCTTTACATTATCATTAATGAAAAATTATATCTTTAAACGTATAAGATAAAATTTTAGAAAGGACTTAATTTTAAATGAGTTCTTGCTAATTGACCAGTTTTACATATTCGGCACGACATATATATATATATATATATATATATATATATATATATATATATATATATAAAATATATATATATATATATATATATATATATATATATATATATATATATATATATATTGTATAGGAACATTTAGAGAGGGTGTGGTAGGTAAGTTTGGGGTGCCAGGTGTAAATGATAACGGGAACCCTTTGATTAAACTTTGTATAGAAAGGGGTTTAGTTATAGGTAATACATATTTTAAGAAAAAGAGGATAAATAAGTATACAAGATATGATGTAGGGCGTAATGACAGTAGTTTGTTGGACTTTGTATTGGTAGATAAAGGACTGTTGATTAGACTTTCAGGATGTACATGTTTATAGAGGAGCCACAGATATATCAGATCACTTTTTAGTTGTAGCTACAGTGAGAGTAAAAGGTAGATGAGTTACAAGGAAAATAGAAGCAGCAAGTAAGAGAGAGGTGGAGGTGTAAAAACTTAAAGAGGAGGCAGTTAGGGTAAGATATAAACAACTATTGGAGGATAGATGGGCTAGTGAGAGTATACGTAATGGGGTCGAAGATTTATGGGGTAGGTTTAATTAAGAATTTAGTGTTAGAGTGTTCAGCAGAAGTTTGTGGTTACAGGAAAGTGGGTGCGGGAGGGAAGAAGAGCGATTGGTGGAATGATGATGTAAAGAGAGTAGTAAGTGAGAAAAAGTTAGCATATGAGAGGTTTTTACAAAGTAGAAGCGATGCAAGGAGGGAGGAGTATATGGAAAGAAAAAGAGAGGTTAAGAGAGTGGTGAAGCAGTGTAAAACGAGAGCAAATGAGACAGTGGGTAAGATGTTATCAACAAATTTTGTTGAAAATAAGAAAAAGTTTTGGAGTGAGATTAATAAGTTGAGGAAACCTAGGCAACAAATGGAGTTGACAGTTAAAAATAGGGAGAGGAGAGTTATTAAATGGAGAGCTAGAGGTATCGGAAGATGGAGGGAATATTTTGAGGAATTGTTAAATGTTGATGAAGATAGGGAAGCTGTGATTTCGTGTATAGGGCAAGGAGGAATAATATCTTGTAAGGGTGAGGAAGAACCAGTTGTAAGTGTGGGGGAAGTTTGTGAGGCAGTGGGTAGAATGAAAGGGGGTTAAGCAGCTTGGATTGATGGGATAAAGATAGAAATGTTAAAAGCAGGTGGGGATATAGTTTTGGAGTGGTTGGTGCTATTATTTAATTAATGTATGGAAGAGGGTAAGGTACCTAGGGACTGGCAGAGAGCATGCATAGTTCTTTTGTATAAAGGCAAAGGGGATAAGAGAGAGTGCAAGAATTATAGGGGAATAGGTCTATTGAGTATACCTGGTAAAGTGTATGGTAGAGTTATTATTGAAAGAATTAAGAGTAAGATGGAGAGTAGGATAGCAGATGAACAAGGAGGCTTTAGGAAAGGTAGAGGGTGTGTAGATCAAGCGTTTACTGTGAAACGTATAGGTGAACAGTATTTAAATAAGGGTAAAGAGGTTTTAGTGGCATTTATAGATCTGGAAAAGGCATATGACAGGGTGGATAAGGGGGCAATGTGGCACATGTTGCAGGTGTATGGTATAGGAGGTAGGTTACTGAAAGCAGTGAATAGTTTTTACGAGGACAGTGAGGCTCAGGTTAGAGTATTTAGGAGAGAGGGAGATTATTTCCCAGTAAAAGTAGGCCTTATACAAGGATGTGTGATGTGGCCGTGGTTGTTCATTATATTTATAGATGGGGTTGTAAGTGAAGTGAATGCTAGGGTCTTGCCATGAAGTGTGGAGTTAAAAGATAAAGAATCAAACACAAAGTGGGAGTTGTCACAGTTGTTCTTTGGTGATGACACTGTGCTTTTGGGAGACTGTGAAGAGAAGTTTTAGAGGTTGGTGGATGAATTTGGTAGGGTATGTAAAAGAACGAAATTAAAAGTGAATATAGGAAAGAGTAAGGTTATGAGGATAACAAAAAGATTAGATGACGAAAGACTGAATATCAGATTGGACGGAGAGAGTATGGAGGAGGTGAATGTATTCAGACATTTAGTAGTGGACGTATGAGCAGATGAGTCTATGAAGGATTAGGTGAATTATAGAATTAATGAAGGGAAATAGGTGAGTGGTGCACTTAGGAGTCTGTGGAGACAAAGAACTTTGTCCATGGAAGCAAAGAAGGGAATGTTTGAGAGTATAGTTGTACCAACACTCTTGCATGAGTGTGAAGCATGGGTGATTAATGTTGCAACGAGGAGAAGGTTGGAGGCAGTGGAGATGTCGTGTCTGATGGCAATGTGTGGTGTGAATATAATGCAGAGAATTCGTAGTTTGGAAATTAGGAGAAGGTGTGGGATTACCAAAACTATTATCCAGAGGGCTGAGGAGGGGCTGTTGAGGTGGTTCGGACATATAGAGAGAATGGAACAAAATAGAATGACTTCGAGTGTATAAATCTGTAGTGGAGAGAAGGTGGTGTAGGGGTCAGGCTAGGAAGGGTTGGAGGGAGGGGATAAAGGAGGTTTTGTGTGCGAGGGGCTTCGACTTCCAGCAAGCGTGCGTGAGCATATTTGATAGGAGTGAATGGAGACAAATGGTTTTTAATGCTTGACGTGCTGTTGGAGTGTTAGCAAAGTCACATTTATGTAGGGATTCAGGGAAACCGGCAGGCCGGACTTGAGTCCTGGAGATGGGAAGTACAGTGTCTACACTCTGAAGGAGGGGTGTTAATGTTGCAGTTTTATAACTGTAGTGTAAAGCACCCTTCTGGCAAGACAGTGATGGAGTGAATGATGATAAAAGCTTTTCTTTTTCGGGCCACCCTGCCTTGGTGGGAATCGGCCGATGTGTTAATAAATAAATAAAAAAAAATATGATGCTGTGCTCAGTACATTTTTGAACCATTTCTGTATGTAGCTATACATGTATACATTGATATACATATGTTAATGATCTTAATGGTCTTGCTTGCAGGGGTGGCAGCAGTGGGTACTGCCTCGCTGTCAGCCAAGGCCGCCCATTCCCGTCCTTGTGTGCCGCTCGAGCGGCCAACCCGCCCACTCGATACCACGGCCCACACCGCCAACGTCGGAGGTCTCTAGTGGCGCTGGGCTGCACGGAGCGCCCATGGTTTACTCTCCCTCACCCGCCCCGCCGCCCATTGCATGTAGTGGTATGGGCGGAGGGCGGTGCCGGCCCACCCCTTGGAAGAGGATTCATCCCTGCCACCCCTAAGAGGACAGTTCCCAGGCTAAAGTTTGGGTCCGTGCTGAAGCTGGTGCCATCAGCCAACGGCAAGGTTAAAGCCAGCTTCCGCGCGCGGAAGGGCAAGCATCTCCTGCACGTAATGGCTGTGGCATGCGGTGCCAAACTCCGGCTACGGGTGGAGTCACAGAGTGGGGATAGAGTTGCTAGTGCTGTGGGAGGAATGGGAGCCTTGCACCTGGTGGTCAGAACACCAAAACCCGAGGCTCTTATTCTCACCCTGAAGACCTATCCACCCGGGGCGGCAAATAAAGTCCTCTTGGCGGCCGCCCACGCCGCCCGCGACCTGCCTCTGCCACGCCTACCTCGTAACACACGAGTGCGGGTGGCGCGGGTATCCTGCTCCTCCGCGACCTTCAAGTGGTCAGCGGCCCCAGGATCTCTAACCTACTGTCTCCTCCTCCAGGAGGATACGAGCGGGAAGGAGTGGCGCTCTCGGCCGCCACTACAGTGCGGGTGGGCGGCGGCCCTGCGGCGAGTGGATCATTATGCGGCCTGGTGGTGCGGTCCTCCCACGCCCGCGAGCCGCCAGCGGCACACGCTAACTAACCTCACGGCTTCAACGGCGTATATCGCCACGGTGGTGGTGCGCCACCCCGCTACGGGACATACACTATCATTTACCCCCGCACACGTTACTACACACGCGTGTCACGCTTAGCACCACCGCCTTCATTATAAACACTACCCTCCTCACTATCATCACACTCTAAACAACACGACCGCCATCACAACAAAATCCACAACCGCCACCGCCTCCACCACCTCCACCACCTCCACCCCCTCCACCACCTCCACCATCACTATCTCCACCATCACCATCACCACCACCACCACCACCATCATAACCATCATCACCACCACCACCACCACCGTCACCACCACCACTCCCACCACCGCCACCACCCCACCAAACGCCACCACCACCACCACCACCCACCACCACCACCGCCCCCACCCGAGCACCACCACCACGAGCACCACCACCACCCCCCCACCACCCCCCACCACCATCATCATCACCACCACCACCACCACCCCCACCACCACCAACCACCCCCACCACCACCCCCACCACCACCACTACCAAACCATCACCACCCCCACCCCACCACCACACCAACACCACCACCCCACCACCACCACCACCACCACCACCCCACCACCACCACCACCACCACCACCACCACCACTACCCCCACCACCACCGCCCCCCACCACCAACACCATCACACCACCACCCCCCCACCCCACCACCCCACCCCCAAACACCACCACCACCACCACCACACCACCCCCCCCCCCACCCCCCCCCACCACCACCACCACGACACCACCCCCACGAGAAACCACCACCCCCCACCACCACCACCACATCACATCCCACCACCACCCCCACCACCACCACCACCACCACCACCCCCCACCACTCCCACCATCACCACACCACCACCACCACCACCACCACCACCACCACCACATACCCCCATCACCCCCAACCACCCCACCCCCCACAACCCCCTCCCACCCCACCCCCCCACCCCCACCACCACCACCACCATCACCATCACCCCCACCCCCAAACACCCCCAAACCACCCCCACCACCCCCACCCCCACTACACCACTACCACCACCACCCCCACCACCACCACCACCACCACCATCCCCACCCACCAAACCCCCACCCCCACTCCCACCACCACCCCACCACCACCGCCACCCACCACCCCACCCCCACCACCCACCCCCACCACCCCACCCCCACCACCACCACCACCACCACCACCCCCACCCCCACCACCACAGTCACCACCACCACCACCACCCCCACCACCACACCTCACCACACCACCACCACCCCCACCACCCCCCCACACCACTCCACCACTCCCCACCCCCACCCCCACCACCACCACCACCCCCCCCACCACCCCCCATCACCATCACCACCACCCACCACCACCACTCCACCACCACCACCCCCACCGCCACCCCCACCCCCCACCCCCACCACAAACCCCCAACCACCCCCCACCCCCACCCCCACCACCACCACCAATCCCCCCCACCACCACCCCCACCACCACCACCACCACAGTCACCACCACCACCACCCCCCACCACCACCCCCCCCACCCCCACCACCACCCCCAAACCACTGCAGACAACAAAGACAGGGATCAAAACCTATAATTCGACAATACACAAGACAGCTCGGGGAGGAATATCTTGTTTAATCTTTCTCTAAATCATATTATCTAAACAGTATTTTTATAGCACAGTGGAATATGAAAATAATCATGATCCCTTTAATTGTGATATAACCATTAAAAAAAATATGGAGGAGGTTTTACAGAGAAACAAATCGCAAAGAACTGCAGATTCTATGAGGACTTTTTAATGTGTGTAAAAAGGGCACTGAAACAGTGGTTGAAATTGTCCGGGTTTAAAGACACAGTGCAACAGTTAGGTACTTTATTCCGAAAAGTTTTGCTTACACGTAGGGTTCTTCAGTCGGGGTAGGGAAAAGTTAACACGAGCAGGGTGGTAGGTGGTCAGTCCCCCTTTAGAGACTGACCACCCCCAAAACCCACGTCTTTAAAAGGGGGACTGTTTGACGTCTTCAATCTCTTTTGCTCCCGCTAACATTTCCGTACTTGACTGAAGAAGCCTACTGTGTAGGCGAAACGTTTCGGAATGAAGATACCTAACAGCTGCACTGTGTCTTACTTAACGCTGAAATGTAAAACTTTAACGCGTTGGATGTGTCGCGCAGAAGATTTAAAGTATGACTTTTGAAGGGTGTCGAACGTGCCCCCTCGGAGTCGATTGTTTCATCATTAACAATGTTGTGTTAGTTTAAAATGTCGAAATTATAGATATGTGAATTTACAGCACCTTTTTCCTCCCTCGATTTTTTTTTTATTGTATCTGATTTTTTTTTTTCATTTTTTTTTAAATGAGATTTCGATAGTTTATCAGCATATCCAGACACGATAACTTTACGTAAATAAACGCTGACGGCTTCAGTTTACACTAATTAAACTTCGTAATTAATAGCATTCGTCGCCTCGTGTAATTCCATTTTCGGAAGTGTGAGTGTGTTTTATTTCAGTTCTCAAGCTATTGTTACAAGGGAGTTAGTTGCTCGGTTTTAGTGTAAGATGACTGACCAGAGGCAAAGACACAATAAGCAACAAGCCGCTTCTTCCTGCGTTGGACCGCGTTCGTTGACTTGTATTCACTGGATTCACTGGCCCGTGGTCACTGGCCCGCGGTCACTGGCCCGTGGTCACTGCCCCGTGGTCACTGGCCTGTGGTCACTGGCCCGCGGTCAGTGGCCCGCGGTCACTGGCCCGCGGTCACTGGCCCGCGGTCACTGGCCCGTGTTCGCTTGCCTGTTTTCATTAGCTCATGTTTGCTGGTCTGTGTTCACTGGTCGATGTTAGTTGGTCTGTGTTTTCTGGCCTGTTATCGGTGGTCCGTGTTAGCTGGTCTATGTGCGCTGGGTTATAGATATTATGGATAAGCCAGCGATCCCTGTGTTCGCACGGAATCTTCCAGTTGCTACACTGATATGTCCATTCCATTCCTCTGATGATGTAACTAAACAGAAATATATATGAAACTTGTTTCTTGTACTGCATATTGAACTACATATGCGCAATCTCCCCCTCACACACACAGGGGCCAGGAGCTGTGACTCTACCCCTGCACCCATAAATAGGTGAGTACACACACACACACATGCCAGAAGGCACAACAGTCGATACATTAGTGTTAACTGATGTGAAATTGACGATTAGAATAAAAACCATAGAAGACAAGGAAAAGTTACAACCAGACCTAAACAAACTAGGATTGGTCAAACAAGTGGCTGTTGGAATTCAACTTCAGTACAAGTAAGATTATAACACTTGAGAAGTGAGATGAGCGTAGGCTGAGCGCTGTCTCAGGTGACAGGGAATGCTAATGTCTCAGAGATACTATAAGATATAATATATATATATATATATATATATATATATATATATATATATATATATATATATATATATATATATATATATATATAATGTATGTATATCGTGCCGAATAGTGCCGAATAGGCACAGCAACGCTCTTCTTGCCGGATAAGGCAAGCGAAAATTTGTGTATTCAATAATTTCGCAAAAAATCATTCTGAATCTAACGAAAAAAATATATTTAATTGTGTCTGTTTATTATTAAATTATTGTAAACTTATCTAAAATATATTTAGTTGGATTAGGCTAAATTAAATTGCATTTTTATAATAAGGTTAGCTATGTTCTCTAGGGTGCTTTTGGTACAAAATTATTAATTTTTACATTTAAATAAATGAAAAAAATATATCTTTAAACGTATAAGAGAAAATTTTAGAAAGAACTTAATTCTAAGTGAGTTCTTGCTAATTGACAAGTTTTATCTATTCGGCACGACATACATATATATTATATATATATATATAATATATATTTTATATATATATTATATATATATATATATAATATATATATATCAATTTTTATGTATCGGTGCATATTACTGAAGTGTGTAAATCCGTCAGTGAGCATTTAATTGCATAGACAGTGACAGTCGAATATTTTTAACTTATTTTTTAACAAACCATGTCCTCATTGATCCGTTGACATTATTATTATTATTATTATTATTATTATTATTATTATTAGTAGTAGTAGTAGTAGTAGTAGTAGTAGTAGCAGTAGTAGTAGTAGTAGTAGTAGTAGAGGAGTAATTGTAGTAAACAGGTAGTTAAAATTGTAGTATATATTCTAATGTCAATCAGAGCAAGGACTGGTAGAGTAGTCAGACTACCAGAGTTCTACTCTGTTGACAAGTAGCTCATGACTCACGAAAATCGCGATCAAGTGACTGCAGACAAATCACTCATTCATGTCACGAGCAGCGAGCAGACTTCCCCCACTTGTTCTTCTGCGTTTGGCAAATCTGCGTTATAAATCTCGTTGATTGTGGGGCTTTCCCCCCTCCCCCCCAAGAAAAAAAAGATACGAAGCATGGAGCTAAGGTACGTGTTGATGCGTTGCATTGGCTATTCACAAGCACTATTCATATGGTTAAACGAATTTCCTAAATTGATTCATTCAAACTCTTCAAATGGATTAGGAAAAGTAGGATCGGGAGCACACAGAGAACTGATTGAACCGTGATTACTTCTGCTGTGTAAATTTACGCTGCGTGTGTGTGTGTGTGTGTGTGTGTGTGTGAGAGAGAGAGAGAGAGAGAGAAGAGAGAGAGAGAGAGAGAGAGAGAGAGAGAGAGAGAGAGAGAGAGAGTGAGAGTGAGATGAACTGCAATGGTATAGTTTAGAAATATTGCATTCATGTTTTTGTACGTTTTGTAGTTGGAGTCTAATATATATTAATTCAGTAAAAGAAAATCAAAATGATTTTACTTTTTTCATTAACCTGATGCCACTCACAGTAAAACTCGCAAAATTGCGAGAACCTATCAGACATATGCACAGAAAAATCCTGGTACAAACATTAGTATCAGTGTTTGCGATGTGTCCAGTTGCAAATTTTTAACTGCCCGGGTCATCTTACAAATCATAAGTCCAGTACTAGGAAATTTTAATTAAATGTTAATCAGCTTTTGTTGTCTTAAAGGCAATTTTTTTTTCCTTCCTAGTTTCGACTCATTTTGGAGCGTTTATTCAGTAGTTACTGAGAAGGAACAGATTATAAACCAGCTGCTTCACTGTAAACATAAATATTTTGACTCTATTGTTTTATTCTGAAACCTCATG